CACTACCACCACCACCACCACCACGGCCGCCACCAGCACTATCACCAAGGACAGGCATGCTCTGCTTTATAACAATTTACTTAAGGAGCTTCATTTTCACTTTTTCACCTGTTCCTTGCTAAATAAATAAGATCTAAAAGGGATTTTCACTTTTATGAGTAAAAGGGAAAGTGAAACTAGCATTGTAAATTGATTTGCAGTGAACCCTTACAAAGGCCGCGTATACCTTGAGCAGGAAGAATGATATTCCCACAATCCGTCAGTAGGAAGTAGACTGGCCCTTCAGCATCAAGTTCCCACACCATGGATCGTGCTGTTTCAGGTCATACATGTTATCTGGTACCGTTTGGCAGATTTTTTTTTTTTTGTCTCAGAATTCTCAAAACATTTTGCCATCTAAGTTAGTGGTAGTTGCTTCTTTCCCCACACATCATTTCTGCTTCCAGATTCCTAGAAATGCTCTGCTTTCACACAGCAGGGGGACCGTGTATCTACCAGTTTGAATTTGCAGTAGATTGAACATGAAGCCTACATTTTTGTTTCCATAAACATAAGATAGTGTGTCCAAGCAAATGCAGTTGGGTCAACTTTTTCTATTTCATATGTTAGTTTCAAAATGATAGTCAAAAACAGAATCCTATCATAAATCTCAAATGTTGCATCTAAAAATCTATTATTCTTAAGGTATTTTCTAAAGGAAGAAATGGTTTTTGAAAAGTATTTTTAATACAAGATCTAAAATGAAAGGACTCTAACTCAGTTCATCAGTTACATTTATTGGGATATTTACATGATCTAATTACTTTTCCTGAAGGGTGTCTTCAAGTGATGTGGGTCATCAACTGACCTTCTGTAACTTCCCACAGGGTAAAGAGAATGAAACTCATCACCCATCCAAGGCCGGTTACTATGAGGCAGAGTTCTCGTAGACTTCTACCTTCTGTTCTTCTCCCCCATCCTGATACCAACCATCCTTCCCATTGTACGCTCCCCAGCTCTGGCAGGTTTGATGACCCATCACAATGGACACACTGGGCTAACCTACCGTACTCATGATTATGAGGTTGATTAAGAACGTTATCAGGTTATACTTACTTGGCAGGGGGGATGCCATGATCTCGGGGACGGTTTTCCCGGGGCAAGGCTTATTCATTGCACTCCAGGTGTGCTGACCCCCACAATTTCCCCAGGTGTGGGAGGTTCGACTGCATGATTTGTGGTGGTGGGGGACTGCGTTCGCTCTCTCCCCTGGAAAAAAAAAGGAAGCTATCCGGTTACCTTCAGGAGCAGAAATGTTATGAATAAAATTATTTGCTCACCAGTATTTCTTCGCAGCTATACCCACAAGGATACCTCTCTCTCGTACTTGGCCTTTCAGTCAAGAAGCATCTGGGCCTCTGCCCAGGTTAGGCAAGTGTTACAAAGCTCCTTTAGTATTGCTGATACAGTCCCCCAAAGGCCCACCTGGCTGCCGTAGGTCTCTTCCTGAAGGCATACAGTTCTAGCACCTGGAATCTGCAAACATATCTCACATTTAAGTGCCTACAGGCACCCCACTCTGGAAATGAGCCTCTTACATGCAGAAATTAAGTTTTATTTGCTCTGATGGCCAAAATACTCACTTCTCTGGTGTGTGCTCTGGATCTTGGTTCCATGGCCTTTGCGGATGTTGCTACTTTGATTTTCTTCTTGTATCACAGCTCTGTCTCCTCATTTAAGGAACTAAAGTGTTCAGCACTCTTTAGGTCCAGAGGATACGCTCCACATCTGTCTCTTCTTCTTGATGGCAGCAACATTCCCCTATCCTGAATATGAGATGGCTCATTTTTATTCCTGGCAGGGTCACAGAATCAACCAGTCCCAACATTAGAATCTCATGCATCCTGTGTGCGTGCTTCCACTAGTCATTTGGTGAGAGTTACAAAGACAATGGCTAAAACAGTTATGCCAAAAAACTCACCCTCACTTTTGTAAACATTGTTCATTTCATACAAGAAAGATTAACCTCCCCTTCTTTCATATGTGCATAGGTATATAGCCCTGGACTTCTGGTAGGCCCCAGACCATCCAGATAGCATCCTCCCTTTTATTTCTCCCAAATCTGGGATTCCTACTTTTAACTCAGGACAAACAGGTGGCAGCTACCGGCCCCTTTGAATGAAGAGGACATTTTGGACATTGTGAGTGCTTAGAAAATGAGCAGCTATTCTCTGCTTAAAATACAAAACAAAACCATCAAACAAATATGTAAAATAACACTAGCCTCTAATTTGAATGAATGTCAGTAATGTTATTTTTGGCGGGGAATGTCAGTAATGTGATTTTTGGCCGGTGAATTTGGGAAAATATGCTATGAAAGAGGTGATTCTGAAGGCGTTTATAGAATTTTTTGAATAGGCAAATTGGAAATGGCCAACTTTTTGCAGTAGTAGCATTTCTTGGAAAGCTCCTTGCAGTGTGGATACAACCCTTCCAATGGATATGATAAATATTCACTGGGTAGGATTGGATAATAAGAAAAGATCTGAAAGTTTGAACTTTCCAAACATTCAATACAGGAGAGAGATAAGCAGAATTCACATTTTCTCCATTCCCTCCTCCTTCCTTTTCTCCCTCCCTGCCTAACTTTCAGGCTTTCTCTTACTTTCCCTTCTCCCTGGGAAAGGCTGAGGTACAGGGAGAGATGCTGTTGCTGTTGGGTTCTGGGGAGTCAGGTCTTATTCACAGCAATCCTGTGCGCAGCAGGGTGAAGCACAGCCCAGGCCTCCCCGCGCTCCAATTGTCGCCGTGCTTGGTATCATGGTGCATTCACAGTGTCAGTTCATCTCCTCGAGGGTCTTCCCCCCTTTTCACTGATGCTCTGCTTTACCAAGCATGATCTTCGTCGCCAGGGATGGATATATCCTGACAACATGTCCAAAGTATTTGAGACAAAGATCTCACCATCCTTGATTCTAAGGAGCATTCTGACTACTTTTACACAGACTTATTTGCTTGTCTTTGTTGTCCATGGTACTTTCAATATTTTTACCAGCAATATAATTCAAATGCCTCAATTCTTCTGCTATTTTCCTCATTTAATGTCCCACCTTCATTTGCATAGTAGGTGATTGAAAAGACCATTATTTGTGTCAGGCATACCTTATTCCTCAAAGGAATATTATTGTTCCTCAAGACTTTAAATTGGTTTTGTGTAGCAGATTTGCCCAGTGCACTAGACTGTTTGATTTCTGGAATCTTTCTTCCATGAAGCAGGAGCCCGTGTGGCACAGTGGGTTTCGAGTTGGTCTGCTAACCACAGGTCAAGAGGCGAAAACCACCAGATGCTCCTCCTCCAAAGAGTTCAAAATCTCAGCGACCCAGAGGGAGAGGTCTCCCGGCTCCTAGAGGGTAACTATGAGTCTGCTCCATTTGATGGAAGTGCATGTGTGTGTGTGTAAGAGAGATACACAGAGACAGAGAGCTTCCATTAACATTAACAATGTTCAAATTTAAGAACATCAGATTTATGAATATTAATGAAATAAAATCCTTGGGGATTTTGATATTTTCTCTTTTTAGCATTAAGTTGTCTATTTGTCCACTTGTGGGGATTTGGTTTTCTTTACATGGAATCATAATCCAGAATGAAGGTTGAGGTCCTTGATCTTCATCAGCAAGGGCTTCACGTCCTCCTTGCTTTCAGCAAGAAAGATTGTGTCATCTGCATGCTGCAAATTGTTACTAAATTTCCCACAGTCCTGATGCTGCAATCTCCTTCGTGCAGTCTGATTTCTCAGAGTACGTGTTAGTATGTAGATTGAATAAGCACCACTAAAGGATACAACCCTGGCACATATCTTTCATCCACTGGTCCATGCACCCGTTCTGCATGAGTTTAATGGGGTGTACAGGAATACTGGGAATACTTGCTCTTCTCGTGTAATTATATGTCTAGAAATTGATAAATAAAAACCTAATATCCTGTGTAAATTTTCTATAAAATAAAAAAGTATGTATTTTGAATGTTGAAAACTGACAGCTGATTATATTATTATGAAAAAATTATCTAGTGGTTTTCAAAGGTAAATTTTCCTTCCTAATTTTTCATAAGATAGAGTACATATCATAATCTAGTCATTTGCATGCTTAAAAAATTGATGTAGCATAGAGAAAAACAAGGTCAGAATGTCAGGTAGCTTTCTTGCTAGTCTTCAGTAGGGAAGCAGTAGGATTTACTGGGGCAAAAATAAGTAATGGCATCAGGGTGATAGTGGAAATATATTGTGCATAATCCTGTGTATTTGTCCTCTTTACTATATTTGAGAAATGAATGCCAATAAAACAGGTTTAACATGATATGTTTGAGATAGGAGAAGTTGGATAGATGTGGTTGCTGGGCTTTAAATTTATTTAACAGGTTATAAACCTTATTAAGTCAACTATGATTTAATATAAAAGGTGATACTTTCATCAGAGCTTGCCCTTTAAAACAAATATTTTTAAATTTAATATCTGAATTAGAACCCATTTTGCATTGGGGTTGGACACATGTATATGTGTGGTAGATTTCTTGAGTAAATAAGTTAATAAAGTAAGTACTAATAAGAGCCCTGGTGCCTTAGTGAATTAAGCATTAGCATGCTACTGGACAGGTCAGTGGCTCAAATTAACCTGCTATACTGAAGGAGAAAGATGGGGCAGTTTGCTTCTAAAAAGATTTAAGGTCCAGAACGTTGGAGTGGTTCGATTCTGTTCTATCGGTTCTCTATGAGCCTTATTCCAGGTGACAAAAAGGCGTACTAAAAACAACTAGGAGTTGGAATAGGCAGTAATGAGTTTTCTGGACATAGACGCTAATTTAGAAGTTATGACTGCTCATGGATCTTATGTAAATTCCTTGAATAACCTAACTTCCTCGTGATATTTCTATCTTTAACAATTGAAAATTGAAAAGTCTAGGCCATATCCAGATGAAAGTACTTTGTAAAGAGCTTTATAATGTTCTTCTACACAAAATTGACTCTAAATTATTTTGTCACAACATAAAAATGAATTGATTTTATCCAACCATAATATTTTAAAACTCAAATCTAGCTACAAGGTGTACAAGCTTATGGAGTGAAAATTGGCTGTATCAGAGAACTGGTGTTATGAAGAAATTACACACTTAAGTTTGGTAGACTCTTCCCTCTTCTCCATATCTCTCTTATCTTATTATTGTAGAAAGCTGCACACAGTTTAAAAAAATCTTTTAAAATTTTTAATCTTTTTACATTTAGCCAACTGAAGAAAAAGTGAAACACTACTCAAACTCCTAAAGTTGGAAATTAGACAAATGTGTATTTTCAAACAAAATAGGGTATAGTGTAATTATAATTATGGTGAGCAAGCTTCATTTATAAATTTGTGTTTATATCTAACGTATACATGTGTTAGACAGGGTTCTCTAAAGAAACAAAACCAGAATGCTAATAATTTTATATATATTCATAGAGATAGTTAGATGTATAACATAAGAAAAAAACAGTTAATTGAATTATAGAGCAGTACAATGGCATAGCGCAACTCACTCCTGTGAGACAGCTGTGAGACACTGGCAGTCCTTCGAGTCTTGAGGGCCACCGGGTAGTCCTCTGTAGAGAGATTCAGGCTATCTGGGTACAGGTAGCAAACAGCAAGTCAGGTCACCAATAGTCAGCCAGATGACAGGGTCCGACAGTCCCTAGCTCAAGAGATGCAAATTCCAATGGTGTAATGAAGCAGGTCTTGAAGGAACCTCAAATGACAGTGACATAGTCCATGGGTTAGGTGTCCCACAGGTAGTGTAGCTTGCAAATTGAGACAAAGAGCAAGCAAGGCAGCCGCACACTGGTCTGATGGTCAAAGAGCAAGAGACAAGAAAGGCGAGGCTCGCCAAACCATTTATCTCTCTGCCCTTCAATTCATCCCACATGTGTTTATCTGCCAGGTTGGCACAATAAACTACATCAATACATATTTACTCATTTACTTTTTGAAACTGACCATTTTATATATGTATGCTTTCAGTACATTCGATAAAGACATTATCATTCTAAATATTATTGTTGTTCCTGACAAATGAAAAACAAAAATCACCCTGCACTACTTAGAGCCCTGTCAAAGCAGTTAAGTGCTCAGCTCCTAACCGAAAGATCCAAGGTTCAAACCCACTAGCTTCTCTGAGGGAGAAAAACGTTGAAATCTGCTTCTTTCAATGGCACAGGAAACCGTATGCACACTCTGGTCTG